TAAAATTATTATTTTCAAGTAAGGTTATATAAATAGAAATAGACTCTAATTTTTCTGTAACATGCCGTGATTTTCCAACAATGATAAAGATTAAGATCGACAAAAAAAGAACCTTTTTTAGTTAATTAGTCTATACCTTAATGAGCGAATCCTTAATTATGATGGATAATAAGACGTCTTGGAATTTCCTCACCCTTAAATTTCGTGCTCTTGAGTTGTGACTATTCATCTATTATTAGACGATGATAGATAACCTCAATGCTCATTAAAAACAAAGTTACTGCTGGAGCAATTTTATCCATTACCAATTAGTTATGGGAAAGAAAAAATGTGGTTTAATTCCACGTGAATATCATTCACGAATTTATGACAATTTGGTACTTAACGCGGAGAATATGTTTGAATAGATCAGACAAAAGCCCTTTTTTAAGCATCAAGGTCCTGAATTATGTACGGCTACAAAGGTTATCTCGAGATAATTTTATCCCGATGAGCGATGTTATCCGGGGGAGGGTAAATTTAACCCAACTGACACAAAACGAAGAACCGAGCCAACAGGTGTCTCAATCAAAAGAATATACCGTCCACCTGGCTTACATAAACTCTGAAAATTAATTAATTTTCTTTTATATCCTCATTTGTTTTCATTAGAACGAAAAAACAGGAGTGACCGCGTACATTGAAATCCAGTGGGATGCTTAAAAAAAACCCTGATTAAAACGTTAAAAAGCCATAAAGTAAATTTTTTACGTAGTTTGATTTCCGGAAGAAAAAAGAGAAACCTGTCGTACCAAAGGAATCACGAAAAAATGACCAATCCAACAAAGGCACCGTAAGAAGTGATAAATATGATTTCACAGAATCACAGACACACTGAGTATGGCAAAACGACGAAAGACGTCTGAGAGATCAACCTAACGAGATGGCCATAAAATGATCAGTAATGACCCCAAATTACAAGTTCATCACCTCACGGACCACTAGAGAAATCTCACACTTTGCTATATAATTTTACAAGTAATCGAATTAAATTAACTTGATGGTAATTTATGGATTTGTTTATTTTTTATTTCGGCAACTATGTAGTTTATCCTTAGTATTGTACTTTTGATAGGTTTTAAAATTAGACTTATAAATAAATATTTTCTCTCCATCTATTTCTAGTTTTACCCAACCGATTATGCTCATAAGTTTTTTGTTTTTTAAACAGACACATACTTTTCTTTCAAACCTTAATTACTCGTAAACAACAAACTCTACAACAATAGTGCCCTAAGTAAAATTTTCTTTAGAAGTCGTAAAATTTAATTCCGTATTCAAAATGATACCTTACCATTTGAACAAAAAAGTTGCAGAGCATTGGGTACGTGCACGATGAAAAAAAATCAATTTCAGATTTAGATTCTACGCAAAAAATTAAGTAAAGACCAGTGCTATTTTTTAAATTATTTCCAAAAAAAGAAATAAAAGGGGGTAGTTTATAAGTAATCACCTGGTATTTGTAGTGTGGTCATCAGCAATCTTCCTAGTATGCTTATCCTCGCTGGTTCGCACGAATAAATTCGAGACTGTCTTTAAACAACTCTTAAAAAAGGAAGTTCTAACAATTTTTTAAATTTTTTTATGGATCTAAAACTTATGATGAGGATCGCGTTTGCCGGGTGGCCAGGGGGTCAGACTTTCGGCTTGTAGACCACGCGGTCTCAAAAGTATGTTCCTTCATATGGCTTCTCCTGATGTAATAAAATATGTTCAATACTAGACAAGAAGGTAGACAAGAAGCCATTAAAAAAGTTTTATAATTATAAAAACTATATTGTATAGTAGTAGTCAAAGAAATGGGTGGGTCATGGGGCACATAATTATTCGTCTGGAGCTTGTGAGACAGCACGAATCAACAATACTGAATCAACAAGCTGAATGAAATCAATACGTGACATTTTCAAAAATAACTTATTCTATAATTAATGTGTTTATGAAACTTAGCACCCTTTCGTAAATTGTGCCAGTTGCGTGTGACCCCGCCGGGATTCCGATGACAATCCGTTGTGCGCGGGGTGGCTCTAATTTTACTTTAGTTTCAAATTCCACAGGATATCAGATTTTACGGTCTTACGTTTCTGGCGACTCTGGTAAACAAACGGAGAAAATTAATGAGGACGTCGGATTTATCACCAACGGATTGTGTTACCCAAGAATAAGCTTGAGTATGAGTTGGAAGAAAAGAATTTTTAAATTTTTTTCACATTATATATATATATATATATATTTCCATTTCTGTTCTTCCATAAAGTAGAAACTAGGAGGTGTAATAAAATCAATCTTTTTAATTATTAAAACAGATGCTGGTAAACTGAATGAGAAAAATTCTTCTTTGGCAAATCTTTGGCTTTCGACATATATTTTATCAGAGGGCCCTGAGGAAGGAGAAAAATATCACCGAAAGCTCGGGAAAATTGACTATTGTCTCATTCCGTTGACTAGAATTGATTATGGATGATATAAACCGTGCCTAGTTGTCCGGATGTTTCTGAAATTTGAAGTTGCCAAAGTTCAAGAAAATGTTTATAATTTTGTTTTATGACCAATGATATTACTGAAGTCAATTCTAATAGCCCTAGGACGTGTTAGGACTAGAATAATATGCTACTGGCTAGACACTGAAGACTCCGGAGAAATATGTATAGATTTGGAGCAGCAGAAACAAGCCTGCACAGGTATGGCCGGGAAGAAGAAAAAACAGCGGAACATCTCCTCTGTTGGTGTGAAGAGAGAGGAAAAGACAAGGCCTGTGGGATACACAAGGGAGCCCTAAGCAAGCTTTGGGTAATGACAAACAGCAATGACCAATGTGGCTCTCTGGCACTAAAAATGCACGATTAAAAGGATAGCATCGTAGGCCGGATCGGTAAAGAAGCTCTTTCGTATTAAGAGCTCGGCTAAGCCCTCGGAGGAGATGAATCGAAGAAAAGGACTCACCCGGCTAAGAATATGCCATACAAAGTTGACACACCCCTTTTGGGTCAACATCCCCCTTATGTGTCTAGCGTGCAGAGAAATTTTGCCCGATGTGTCCCCGTAACTGAAGGATGCGATTCTTTGGCTCCATTTAGAGAGCGAGTAAGAATTCAACCCGAAATAGTAATTGTGCTTAAGCACTTTGATATTCTATGATTGAATGTGTTTATTAGCGTGAATGTGCTGTTTGAGAGGGTCGATGGGGTATTTAATATTCAACCATCGTCAAATTAGATCAGTTATGCATCATGTGAAAAGTGTGATGAAAGAATATCAAGTGCTCCACCACCTTATGTGAGTGTATGATTTGTAAATAGGAAAAATGTATTTAAGAAATAATGAGAGGGTGAGGAGAAAGAAATACTGCATACGTTGGTGGCTTAAATAACCTAGGGAAATATTTTTCCCAACTAATTGTAAGTTCTGATCTGTAAGGTTGTTACCGTAGACACGATAGGTATTAACATAGAAATCTCATTATTTATAAAACAAAATATAAAATTAAAAATGTTAGGCACGTTTGTAATTATCCATGAGTTAGCTGGGTCGTTAAATAATTAAGTATGGCCAGTCGCCTGGGAAATGCATCCTTTCATGGCTTACAATTATAATTCGTTGTTAAAGACTTGTGTAATTTTTCTATTGAGCAACTAATATATCTTTACGTTATTATTAATATCATTTAACTCTCTTCATTAAAATTATTTTTGAAGGAGCGAAGGGAGATCCAATAATATACTAATTTTCGTTTCATCAGCTTTTGAAGGTATATTAGCCCATCATTAGGGACTAAGTTAATACACGTAAATTGGGAGGTTTATGGGCCGACAAACAGCTGAGGTCATCGCCGTCCCATTGCGTATTTTCCTTTTTTTTCTCATCCTTCATGCTGATTTTGTTTTAACCATTTGAGGGTTTCGATCTAATTACTGACTCTCTCTTTTTAAACGTAAACTACGTCGATATCCTTAAATGCTAGCCTCTCGCTTACTACCTAAGGTTGTCAAATACAGAATAGAAAAATAAGTGGCCGTCAAAGACCCTCCACGAACAACAGCCAACTCTGGGCAATTCTCCATTGAAATTCTGGCCCATATATCACTGAACTGCGTTGAAAAGATTGACTCTGGGAAAAATTACAGGCTTCGTATCTTTCATTTCGCCTTCTTCACACCCTTTTCATCTGGAGCTCGCAGAATCTGCACCCATTTGTAAAACGCACAGCAGACCAATCGTCCAAAGACCAATGGCTGTGTTCTCGAGCAAATGCGAGCCGTTCAACTACGTGTTCTGGTCAATTCTGGTCCACGAGGCGAAAAGCCATCAGTCCATTCTGATTTAATCTTCTTCGAGCAGTGCGTTCAGAAATTTGGACACCTTGAACATCCTGTATCTGATGAATCGCTTCAACAACAATAAGCTGTCGGTTTCGCAAAATTCTCAAAGTCAAAAAACGGTCATCCTGTGGTTCTGTTCTAGGACGTCCAGAACTGGGCCTTCTATCGTAGTACCCAGTTTCTCGAAAATTTCTAACGATCTATCGGAGAGTATCGATGGAACTCAGCCGCATACCTGATGGAACGTCCATCATCAATAAGTACCACACCACGCACAACATCCTCAGCACTAAACAGGTCCACAAAGAAGAAAAAGTTTACAAATTGAAATTTAGAAAACAATGATGAAAACTAAACAGTTTATTGCTTCAAAATTCAAATGATACTGAATAAAAATTTTAAATTCTGAAAAAATCTTTTATCCCTGTTTTAGATTAAGGGTTAAGTGTGTTTACCTCTAATTGATATTCTTGATTTAAAACATTGCACAAGCAAATATTTATTGGTAAAAACAATGAGACAAATTAAGGGCAGAATTTTCTTTGATTGAGAAAATGAAAAAATTCAATTGGGTGGAATTTTTTGTCTGTCAGTGTATCTATACTTTTTTGGCTTTGCATTTGTTGCAATTGGCACGGCGGATTATGTACAAAAAGTTTAAGCAAATCTGTGTGTGAACAAGCAACCTTTCGAGCTAGGGCGTAACGACATTTTCCAGCCCGCAGATGTTCCGGCCAACTCGTGGTGGGGGTCTATCGAACATGTCCGACTGGTGCCCACGCCATAGCAGTCCGTTTGTCTCCACGTTGGCACAAATTTCTCACTGGTGAGTGCGATTTTTTCTTTTATTCGGGTTTTACTCCCTGATCGGAAACTGTCGAAGATACGATCAGTCTTCTGACAAATGCAAATTTGCTTATCCCGGCTACGAAAACGATCCCGTTCAACAAAGATGGCGTTCACGCCGTTTTCTCATTCCCACTGGCCCAATCCCATCCGGGCGGAGTCTTCTCTCGCGTGCTTTCATTGCTTATAAACACCTATATATTAAATTAAAAATCGATATTTTAGACAAATTAGATAATTATTTTTAAAAAAGCACTAAATTTAAACACTTAAACAGCCTACTAACAGGGTAGTCATTAGTATATCAATAAAACAACAAATTAATTACAGCGCAAATTACTTCACTTCACACACATTAATTAACGATAAAAGATTTATGAAGAAATTACATGCATAGGTGTTTCTCATTGTACAAAAAAAATATGACGAGTTGTAAAAAATGGTTTATAAATTATTGAAATACAACACAAAATTCTCCCTTTCAACGATCCAACACGATTGTTTTTTCCTTATTTTATTAATGAATTACAAAACAAGTAAGTAGTACAATTGTTTGATTGTTATTTATTTCATTGATTAATGAGTTATGAAATTACACGCCGCTGAAGTTGAAAACATTTTACGCTGCTGAAGTTGAAAAGATTTTTTTAAAGCAATTTTTTTGTTAGCAATTACTGTTGTTTTTAACAAAGGAACATAATTTTAAATTGCGTCAAAAATTGTTTCAAACCAGGGAAGAGAAGTAAATTAGTTAGACTATATTATTTTCTCTCTCATTCTCTCTCTCTCTCACACACACACACACACACACACACACACACACACACTCCTTACTCTAATTTTCTTTATCCCGTACTTTCACCTCTTATTTTTTTCTTTTTCTAACTATGGCTGTGTTGTGTTCACATTTTTTTTTCGGTAATGCTCAAAATAAAAATTAAGGAAAAGATACATATAGATAGATAAATATAAATAGACAGTAGACATGCGAAATGATATTCAATATTACTACAGATAAGAATAATTTTTTATAACGGATAATATTATAAAACACTTTATTCCATTTTGTAAATTTTCTTGTTTTTCAAGCATCATAACATATAAACACACAATACGTCTATTTTCGTTCTCTTTCTCTCTTCTCTCGCTCTCTCTCTCTCTCTCTCTNAGAATAACTTTCCTATTCACGGTACAGATTATTCTATAACAATTAAATATTCGGATCTTTACTGTCCGTTAACTGTCCTGTAACTAACTACGAATAACAAGCTTATCTAAAGGGAACAATTGAAAGAAGGGGCAATTGTTGAGTCCACACATTCCTAAGTACTGAGATAAGTATTGTTTAAAAGAAGTCTCGTTATTAAAACGGAGAGGTAACTCATCCACCCCTAGATAAAACATTCCGAGAATGTTGGTTTTTCGGAGGCGGCAGCTGCTGCAAGTTGCTGTCGTGCGAATATATACCGGGTGATTCCATACCCAGATAGTAGTAGGATGAGTCCATACAGGAGGATCGTCCATATACTTATCGATATAGTGATGATCGGTTTTGCAATAGCTGTAGATAAATGTTGACTTTCTAGTCGGTTCAATTTGACATGCTTTACATTGACCGTAAATCGTGGCTTTTGTTCCTCTTTCAAACTAAGTTTAACTTCGTTGAGGAACTTTGGATGTCCAGAAGTATGTAAAGAATGAAGAAACTGTTTATTTCGAAATGTTACATTACTTGATGTAGTATTTATTAAGAATATTACGTGTAGACTTCTAGATATTGTGTCCCCATGTTTCGTTATTGTGACGATTTCTTCTTTGGGAAAGCTGGCTAAATGTTGATTTAGTTCAGCTATCCCGGTTACATTTAGGATGTGGAAATGTATTTGTTAAATGTAAACAATACTTGTAAATCCCAGGCCATGAAGATGATCTCAATAAAGATCGAAACGTTGGCACGATAAAGAAAATGTTTTTCTGAAACCTACATCACACCAGACCGCATTTCACGATTTCTGAATAATTATCGATTAACGGTCACTAATCACCACACATAAATAATTTGATTGTTTACAATTTTACATTGTACACTAATTAAATTTTCAAATTCAAAAATGTTCCTTAAATTTACTTCAAGTTGTAATTGATCCTCATAATAAGTGAAAATTCTAGTAATTTCCTTAAACAATTCGTGAGGAGATATAATAGCGTGTAAAGTCTGGAGTTTACAAAATGTTAATGAGTTTTCGATATCCTGTACTATATTTAATAGTATTTCATAAGTGATATGTAATAAATTTGTTGTATCTCTTAATTTCTCTACTTCAACATAATTGTTTAATTTTTTATTTACTGCAAAAATTTTTGATTTAAGTTCGGCTGTATTTTCTTCAACTACTGTTAATGATTTATTAAATTCCTCAATGAGTTCATTGATTATTAAATATTGCAAATTTATTTGTTTTTCAAAATTAATTTGACTACCTTATAGATTTTCAATATCTATTAAATTGAGCTCCATCGTACGAATCTAGATTACTTGTAATAAATTTTATGATAGATCCTAATCCATTAATCAAACCTCTTTTAGTTCTAATACTGTTAGTATTTTTTACAAAAACTATTTCTAACTTTTCTATATATGTAGCTTTCACTCACACTCTCCCACTCATTTATTCACACTCTCTCTTTCTATCTATCTACCTATCTTTCTATCTGTTTATCGATGTATTTATCCATACATCCATCTATTTTATCTATTTATGTGTCTATCGAGTTAACCAATTCCAATACTCTATCTTTATTATTTCTCTCTCTCTCTCTCTCTCTCTCTCTCTCTCTCTCTCTCTCTCTCACTCACTCACTCAATCACTCACTCACTCTCTCTCTCTCTCTCTCTCTCTCCATCCCCCTTGCTTTCTCGCATTCTCTCTCTTTCTATGTCTCTATCGATTTGTCTATTTGCAGTATCTATATAATGTACAATCTTTATCCATATCCCTATAAATTTCTACACTCTCACACACTCGCACACCCTTGGCTACTATAGTATCCAAGTTAAAATTCAAACTCTTCTCTCACGTGTTTCTGTTGGTTATTATTACTAATAAAAAAATAAAAAATGAAGAAGTCGGTTTATAATTAATTATAGTTAATGCTTATTTGAATTCTTACATGGAAGCATGTAACATGTGCACTCACCGTAAAAAATAATGTCCAATTAAATTATTAAGTTTAGGCAATTTTAGTTTTTTAATTTTTGTGAATGTAAACTTTTTAACTTTATATTATCAATAAAGTAGGTATTTTGATTTATAATTCAAAGAAACGTAACTATATTTTGTTGTATTTTTAGTATTAACTGCTTGGGGAAACTTCAATTATTAATTTTGGGAGCTTGCCTAGTCTTGCTGTTTGGCTTGGTCCCATGCGAAATTAAGAAAAGAAGAGCAGCTCATCAGAAGACAAGAATAAAATAATTAATGTCAATAATTTATATGTTTATAATATTTAAAAAAATGTTAATTTTCAGGAACCTGGACTACCGGGAGCCGTAGTATGTAATGAGCAATTGAATGGCTGTGATAAGGGAAAGAGACGAGAGGTGGTTAGCACAGTTTATTGCTGCAATAAACATCCCAGGGAGCTCTAAAACTGTTTTTCTTATTTATGCCACACCTGAGGTCAGTTCAAGTGAATCTATTTTGTCAGAAGCCAATCTTTTTAACAGTCAGTGCTAACGAGCTGTTTCAGTAGCTTTGGAAGTTGATCTAATGAGGTTCAATTTAAATTTCTGATCCAGTTGATCAGAGGAATGCGAGGCGTCTTCTTTCCTCCCAACAAGGCGGTTATTTTTTTGCCCCGGTTATCCGACCGAAGATCCTGGAACATCCCCTGTTTCCATTTTTCTACTTATAATTGTTAATTCTAATTGGATTATTCCCAAGGGTTTCTGCTCATACCGGACGGTAGACTGGGAATTACCATCGCAAATGGAACACCGGTCACGCGGGACGGCGCAAACGAGTAGATCCTGAATCAGGACCGCCTCGGACAGCTTCCTTTTTTTAACCCTGTATAAACTATCTTAATAATATTTTTATTCTTTTTCTATTCTATAGGTTGTTATTAAAATTTATTTTTTATCTTAACTCACGCTATTCTACAGACGGAGACCGTTAAGATAAAAATAAATGTTAACCCTTTATTTCGCCAATCCTAACGGTACGTCCCGGGAACGGGTTCCTTGGCCCTCACCGATCCCACAAAATCTTGTAGGACTTCAGTAATTTAAAAAACTTAAAAAACAAGTGAAAAAAATACACGAGAATTTTCAAAATTATCGCAATCGCGATGAAAATAAGGTAACAAAGCAAAAAAACTTTACTATATTCAATGATCTTATTGGTTCCTTACTACTCCTAGAAATGTCAAAGGTTAAATAAAACTAGATATTTTGTTCGGACATGATTTTAACCTTTCACAATTTATGTCGAAAAGATGTAAGGAAGGACCTGTTTTATTTAAAATATTAATATCGAGTCAGATGTGGCTGACCGACGGTAATAAAACTGTGGTTTCCTCGGTCAGCATCTTCCATGGGTTTGCTACCGTGCCCAATATATGAAGTAGGAATTTTTCCAACAGATAAACTAGTCAACTCGAGTTTTAAATTTAATTAAAATGAATAGTATAGTTTTTATAGTCTTATAGCTCTCCTCTCCAGAAGCAGAGGGATCTCATTTAATTTTAATTAAATCAGACGTAAGCTCTCATTGGAGAGAATTAAGCCGGTCCTTAAGTCCTCGGGAAGAAAATGAGGTCGGACTCTGGAACGTTATTGTCTCTGCAGGGGATTTGCGTTGAGAAATTTAATTAAAATCAGCCCCACTCGATCCTCTCCGCACATATAAATGCCTCGGGGCAGTTCTTAAACATGGTGGAGTTGGGCTTGCAAATTCAACACTGGGACCAGGATTGAAAGAAAGTACATATTCAAAAATTCTAGACGGTTTTGAAAGATTTGGAGTCTTTATAGGAAAATATACATTAAAACAATAAATTGTAACTTTAAATATACGTGAGCAATGAACTTTACAAGGTAGACAAGTTATGCAAAGTTTTCCCTTAATTTATGGCATGCGTGCAAAGTCCTGATTTGTGTAACTGTCTTTTCATCGTGTGCTTACATTTATGTTAATTCTGTGATTTTTCCCTCAGTGAAGTTGCTGCTAAAAGTAAGGTCAGAAAGATAGTCTGCTAGTTGTCGAAAACTGGTAATTTATAATTCACTGTTATAACTGTTTTCCCTTGCCCAAAAAAATATACGAGAAGACAAATAGCAATGAATCGGGTATAGGTTTTGGTCATTTTGACTGGGGGAAAAATAAAATCATATTTACCATGAAAATATTGTTTTGTGTGATAAAACAGAAATAAATAAATTAAAATTTATTTCAACACTTTTCTAATCTTTTGAGAAACTATATTTACTAACGAAATTATCAATAATGCTGAAAATTTTCAAAAAGTTCAGTAATTATATACTCCTAAATTTTAGATGTACTCTCCCATTTTAAGCAAGCATTTTAATCAGCTTAACTAATTTGACCAAATAATTTTGAGAGTTCAAATTATATACTTTTTATGTACCTACGCTTTTCTTTTGCACATCAAATTGCGGCTTGTAGTTTTTGGAACGGTACTTATACAATACTTAATTTATAGAATTGATTGAAGTCGTGTGAGTATGAAGATTCAATTTTTGTAAATGATGATTCAAGCATTAAACGCTCATCATCAGGTTGAAGGATGTAAATATGTATAGTCTTATATTTAAATTATGTTTACGATAAACGAAAAGGTCTGTTTTTTCGAGTACTTGCTCATCTTTCATTAGACTTATTTACTAGATATGGCGTCTAATAGAATTACAGATTAATAAATATTATCTTGAAACGAGGCTAAAATAAATTTTGTTTATAAACCATTCTCTGGGAAAGAAATTTGGCCCAAAACCAAAAAAGACCTTTCAGGTCAGAAGTTGCCTATTTTATGAATGGGTTGTACGCGTCATGACCGAGGTGATAAAATCATTGGACAAGACATTACTCTACACGATTCGGCTGTAAACGACGGAACGGTTTGTCCTTATAGAGCTATTAGGTTTTACGGTGGAGACTACTGCAACTTGAGGATTACTAGCCGACAATTATGTAACTTAAAATGAAGAAAGTTCATCAAAAGTGCGGCATCATTTAATTTTTTAACTTTCTATTGTAGAGACCGATCCTTTGGGCTATGCGACAAGCAGACTCTTTTTTTTAAGTTATTATTGGGTTGTCCGGAAAATAATGCAGGATTTTGGTATTAAACAAAAAAAAAGAAACTAGTTACTTTAAAGCAATGTTCTTTAATCAAAATAATTTCCCATACTCTCAATACATTTCTCCCAACGTGTTGGTAACTTATTAATTCCGTCTGAGTAGAATTCAGAATTTTTAGAATTGATAAAGTCAATAAATGCATTTTCCAGTTCCGTTTGATTTTTGAATATTATGTGTTGTAAGTAGTGGTCCAGGTGTCTAAAAAAATGGTAGTCAGTAGGCGAGAGGTCCGGAGAGTAGGGTGGGTGAGGCAAAGTTTCATAGCCAAGCTCCAATAATTTTTGTGACGTTACACGTGACACATGTGGTCGAGCGTTGTCATGCAACAAAATGGGCCCTTTCCGATTGACCAAAGAGGGCTTCATTACTGCCAATTTCTGATGCATGGTATTAATTTGGTTACAGTATGATTCAGCATTGATGGTTTCGCCAGGATTTAAGAAGCTGTAGTGTATTAAACCAAATGAAGCCCACCATACCGTAACCATTACCTTTTTTTGATGAGTTGGGGGCTTTGGAGCTTCTCCTTTGTCGAGCCACTGTCCAGAACGTCTAGTGTTATCGTAGAGAATCCACTTTTCGTCACATGTAACAATTCTGGCCAGAAATGGGTCATTTTTGTTTCGACAAAGAAGTGATGCACAAACATCAAAGCGCTGATTTTTTGGCGATCGTTTAATGAGTGTGGAACCCAATTTTCGAGTTTTTTCACTTTTCCAATCGCCTTGAGGTGGTCAGCGACGGTCGTTTTACTGACTTTGAGTTGCTCTGCACCCACCACTGATCGCAGAACATCATCATTAAGAGAGGAAGGCCTTCCACGACCTTCTTCATCTTCAAGGCTGAAATCTCCCTCCCGAAATTTTTTAAACCACCTTTGCACAGTGCACTCATTAACACAACCCTCGCCCCAGACTTGGTTAATGTTTCTAGCCGTTTGGGCTCCGCTTCGGCCGAGTTTAAACTCGTAAAAGAAAATCGTACGAAATTCTCGCTTTGACATTATAAGGATGACTGAATTATTTCCAAGTAGCGGAATGCTACAGAGGTAAACAAACAATATCATTTGGAAGAGGATTAATAAGTGTTGACATTCATACAAATGAGTAATCCTGTAAACGTAAACAGAATATTTTATATAGATTTTTTTTAATGAAAACTTAAAATCCTGCATTATTTTCCGGACAACCCAATAGTTAGGTACATGTTTAGGGGCAACTTGTGTTCATCTGATCATTTAAAATTCATCCACTTTCGATTAAACATGGGTCAAGAAACTTTTAAAAAATATAGTTTGCTTTGGAAACTCAAACTCTTTTGAACACTTCTTTATCCTCAAGTCGCACCAGGTCGACAGGTATTAAAATATGGGTCGGATCCTCTCATTCTCCTTTGTGCAAGACGAAGGCAGGAGTCACTCAGGGAGGTGTCCTCGGTCTGTGTATAATGTACTCAGTGTATACTGATTGTCCTCCAACTCCGACCCCGTTATAGTCCACTGAACCCTCCAGAGACAACTAATTCTTCAAAAATGGCTAAAAAAAATTGCGAATCAAACTCAGCACTACAAAACCCAAAACATAACATTTACCTCTGCCACATCTCTCTACTTCTAACCTATTATAACCTTACCTACCCTTCCTACTGAAACGACATCAGACTTGGGCTGTATCTGCGGCACCCCTGAACCTCCATCCCTACATGATTTAGGACTGAACAGTATGAATTACTTCAATACTACAAGACAACAAATCTAAACATTCCCACGTCAACAAAATACTACAGAATCCAGAATCACGAATCCTTATGCATTGGCAACGCCACTTTGTATTTTTACAACCGCAACATCTATAACGACCTAAATGTTCCATTTTTAAAAGAAGTTGCAAGATACAGCTACAAAAATTCTTCACTTACTTCCACTCTAATCCTCATGTATAACAAATTTCCTTCCGATTATTTCCCAATAATCTTTCTCGACGTCTAAAAGACAATGGCCCCGTGACCTCTCAGAGAGGCCAGAGAGTAAAAGTAATTATATCGCCCAAATATGTCATGGCAAAACTTAACTTATACTTATATGTACCACATTAACAATATACTTAATAACAAAATAAATTAATGACAACGTTCCAATTTTAGTCCATAGCCTGAATTGGGCTATTTTGTAACATGATACCTAATGTTATTTAAATGATTAAACCTTTCTCGGTTTTTTTTCTAAGGTGGTTATTCTCCTTGGAATGGAATTACGTGAGTGGTGCATGTTATCGACCATTAATGGGATCTTCCGGTTCGCCCGACTTCAACCTTGCACGCAACAGTCTGGTATGTTTTAAAAACGCTTCTCAACAGAAGATTTGTTTATAACTCGGATCGATATGACTCGCTATGCAATAAAGAATAACGTGTAAACTGACATCTCCATTTCAGAGAGGCGGCGAGGCGGAGGGATAAACTATTTGAATGGTGGCCGAGATATTCAATTCCCTTGCTGAATGCACAATGGGCTGAATTGTGAGCGAGAAGTCGTAAACCCCTTCGATACATATTCAGCAGGTAACAATAGCACCCCATCCCTTCTAGTGCTGTCTTTTCGTATATATACAATTTGCCGGGTTCGATTCAAATTCACGCCCGGCCGTAAACCGTCCAATTGGCTCGAACCCTCTTTCATATAAATAAAATTTCCGATACGACGAGATTCGAGTATTTTCATCCCAAACGTTTTCAATTTTGTTTGACTCCTGGCGGATAATTCAAAACTTATAAAGATTACAAAAACCAAATAAGAGGGCAGTTTTTTAAAATAGAACGATGGATAAACGCTTTGTCCCTTAAAAATTTCTGCACAAATTTGTATGTTGAATTGAGTAAAAATAAAGTAAAAAAATAAAATAATTTATCTCGTTATGCTTGAACACACTGTTTTACTTTAGATGTGCTAAAAAAATTTGGTTCTCTTGTAATGGTTGGGTGGTCTGTGAATTGGCAGTTCGTTTTCCTATGAAATTTCTGTCAGTGTTCTACTTATTGGTGGTGATGAACCTATAAATTTGTCAATTAATTAAGGTATTGGTTGAGATACAAAAGTCAGTGTCGCGAGCGGGATTCGAACCCACGACTTCGACTAAATACGCCGCTGCTCTACCACTCGAGCTATCGTGACTTCGACCCACTCGGACACTAACTTCCCATCTCAACCCACCTTTTTGAATTTTTTTCCCTCCTTTTTGACAGTTTTCAAATATCGTGTAATCTATTTTCTTCTCGGCGACAAATGAAATGGCCACGGACTGTTTTATCTCAACCAATACCTTACATAAATATTAATTAATTGAAAGAGGTTATTTGGTCAATCAGACCACGAAATCTAATGTATCTATGGCATTTGTTCCACTTATGTGGTATAATGAGTACCTAGGGTAAAAAAGAACACTAAGAAATAAGATTAGTTAAGATTAATAATAATAGTTGAAAATTGCACATTTGTGATGATTCGACTTTTATATTTATTATAATATATTATATTTATTATAATATTTTATATTTACCACTTTTTTCACTTACTCAGTGGTAAAGGCACTTAAAGAAAAGGTTTGTTCGAAACTTTGGAAAAATAGACAAAAACATTGATTATATTTTTTAATTCTAATTGCGGAAAATTGATTATTGTTTCTTTGAACTTTTGGTTGTCTGTTTTCGCTTTATCTATTAGTTGGTGTAGGCGCCTAACGAAAAGGGGAAACAATAATTGCAGGTTTTGTTCGACGAGACTATGGAAAAATAGACAAAAACATTGAAATTATTTTTTAATTGTAGTTTGTGGAAAATTTGTTATTGTTTGTCTGAACGTTGTGGTTGCCTGTTTTCGCTTTATCGATGCTCTTGTTAATATCTAACGATGAATAAAAAAAGTTCATGACTACTTTTAAAAGTAATATTTAAAAAAATAGAAAATACGCCATATTGCCCGCGGTGAAAAATTGACCATTTTTAATTTCATGATTTTTTTGGTTCACGTTTTTTACGCTTGATCGATTCTTTGGTTAAGGTCTAGAGAAAAGGAAAATAAGGTCATGGCTATTTTAGTTCGGCTCGTCTAGGGCAAAGGATGTTCAAACATATTATGTCATTATTCGAGATGTAGAAAATTGGTCATTGATTCATCTCTGATCTTTTTGATTGGCCTGTTTCTCTGTATTTGTTCTGGTTCAAGCCCAATGAGAGGGAACAGAAAACAGTCAGGATTAGATTTGGTCGATTTGATTACAGAAAAATGCACTAAAAAATGGGATTAAAAGATATTCGAGAACTTTGAAAAATGGGTTATTTTATTATTTAGCCCTGATCTCTTTTGCCCTAATATTTAATGCCCCCTCTGGCTGAATCTTTGACGACGCAAAAGAAAATAGTCGTGGTTAGTTTCGGTCTGTGTGGCCTATGACCGAAAATCTTCAAAAATATCCTGATTATGTCGTAATGCGAGTTGTCGAAAATTGGCCATTTGTTCATCCCTGATCTTTTTAGTCTGCCTGGTTTCGCTCTATTGATGCTGGTTGATATCTTACAAGACGGAATTAAAATTAAATTAACGATAAAAGAAAGTGATTCACTTTGGTCGATTTGACTACGTAAAAAACAAAACAGTTAGATTATAAAATATTCGGGACGAACTGTCAAAAATTTGTACTTTGTTCATCTCTGATCAAATGAACCCTTATACAAACTGGCCAGAGGATGTCGTAATGCGAGTTGTCGAAAATTGGCCATTTGTTCATCCCTGATCTTTTTGGTCTGCCTGGTTTCGCTCTATTGATGCTGGTTGATATCTTACAAGACGGAATTAAAATTAAATTAACGACAAAAGAAAGTGATTCGCTTTGGTCGATTTGACTACGTAAAAAACAAAACAGTTAGATATAAAATATTCGGGACGAACTGTCAAAAATGCCCAAAACGTATGCTTGGGGTAACGAGATCCCTTATGGACTCTTTAATCACAGAATGGGTCCGCAAAAATCAAAGAGGAGTGGACAAATTTTAGAGATACCAGACACAGTAAATTCATGGTTAAAGAACCGTGATCAAAACTGGTAAATTCATTAATAGTTTAGTACTTACTTTGACAAGGGAAAACTCAGGGGTGATAGCGCTTTGTAATCAATACTGGCATCTGAGGAAACATCTAAACAACCTAGGCATCTTCAATAATGACCTCATTTAATCTATGAAAAGAGAAGGAAAAACTGCCACTGTCTTCTTCGAATGCGAAATAATCCAAGTCAATGCCTACTACTTCTGAAAAGTAGGATCGAGTCAATTGAATTGAAATAATGAACTACTTAAATAAGTTTTAATTAATTAAGGTTTTTAGTTGAGACAAAAAGTCAGTGTCACGTGTGTCAGTGTGTTTTTTCTCATCTAAAAACCTTAATTAATTGAAAGATATTAATTGGTCAAGCGGACCACGAAAACTAGTGCATGTACTTAAATAAGGTTACAATAAGCCAAAACAGCTTGTGGTATACAAAGCCCCCGCTTCATAGTATTCCCTTATCAATTATCATCATTCTAATCACTTTTGTCCGAATATTTCTGAGTTATCAGCTGTGATTAAGGTTTTTCTTTGTTAGAAAAGTCGTGGTAAGTGTTGCCCAGGTAACTGTAGCAAATATGCAAAAAGTATTTTGTTATATTCAATCCCTCAAATGCGCCATATGTTCATCTCTGACATTTTGCTCGAATGTTTTCATGTATCGATTCTGGTCGAAGTTTTCCTAGGAGGAAAAACAGGGGTGGGGTTTCGGCCTATATGCTTCATCTCTAATCACTTTGGTTCGCCTGTTTTCGCTTTAACGATTGCAGTCAAGCAAAGAGTATAAATTAAGAATGAAATAAATGATAATGCAAAACAGGCGATTAGCTTTTGTAATGGAAATAGGTCATTTAGTTTTTGTTCTAAATGTATGAATTTCAAATTAACGGTTTTGTTATACTTTACTTTATAGTAAACGGTATTATTCTCTCCAATAAGGAAGATATCAGGTTTTGAAGATTTTGCGATGTGCTGTTTCTAAGATAAATTCTTAGTCAAAATTATTTCGCAGTTGTAAATTTAAAAATGTTTCTCTTCGGATAGTAGTGTAGGTAAACTGAAAGCAGAAATTAGCCTGTAAATATTCCACGTTTTTACGCGATTCTAATGTAAGTTATGGCTCAGTCCTTGGCCATGAATTTTCAATAAGCGGCGTTTTTCTATTTCCCCAGATTTCACTTTAAACCTTTGCTAATTTTTTTCTTTTGTCATTCCAGGTTCGTTAGAGAACCGGACGGTGTGAAGTTGAAGCGTTGGTTCATCGTGACATATTCAGTCAGTGAAAGTTATAAGAAAAGAAAGGTATTTACTGGAAATGAAAATTGCTTTCAGAGAGCGCATTCCTAGTCGCTGTTTGAAAATAAAAACGCTACTCTGAATGCGCAACCTGAAAACAACAAATACTTAAAATGCACTTTAAAGAAGGATAGAAAAATAAACTATGTACACATAGAGTAAATTATTTATTGTTAAGGGAAACTTTAAAGCTTACTAGTTCATGTTTTCTTCTTATTTAAGTTAATCCAAACGTAAAATGTGCAATACCCTCCTGTAGACAGCGGGTTGATGACTTCAATTTGATTGTTGCGCCGCCTTCAGTGTCACTTCACAAAAATTAGTAGACACACTGAGGAAGTCGAAATGCCGAACGTCTCGAGACCAACTCAGTGAGGATGGGTAGCCCAAAATGACCGTTAACGATCGAATTACAAACGTAATAATCAAATTACGACCTTATAATGATTTTTACATGCCTTAACGGTCGAAGAATGTATCAGAACATTCATATAATAATTTGAACACACATAATAAAATTAAAATGATCATAAAGTGGTAATAAAAGTTAAAATTTGTAAAATAAGTATTGAAAATTAACTATTGATGAGGTGGATAAGGAGGATATTAAGGATATAATATTATATGCATTGTTATTATCCTAATCAGAACATCATACACAGGCATATATTATATTCCTATAATGCAAAAATTTTATTTCCATGTAAAAGTTTGAAATTTAGATATATTTGCCACCGACTTGGTTTCAGTTTTTCGAGAAATCCACTTTCTCCATGCAGAAAATATTTTGTTTGGTATCTTTCAAGATTTCGTATTGCATTGATTGACGTTGATTAACATGCAAAATTTTATAATCTATGTATATTTTGTATCAGAAATTTTCTTAAATGGTAAAAATAAATTTAAAATAATTTCATTTTATTTTCTACTGTCAATCTGTTCTAATTGACCTGGATTTAGGAATTTAAATGGCGCGTTACCCCAAAAATTTGAAATAGTTTTCATACTTTTTATGAAATGTATGTGTTTTTTTGTGAGCATTTATTTGGCATGTTTGTACAGTTCAGTATTGCAGTATTGATCTTTCACATTAACACATTAAATTTTGTAATTTTTATAGTATTTTTTCCCGGAGAGTTTATACAAGCCTTCAATTTGAAAAGAGAAAGAAAAAACCTATTACCAAGGAACTGAATATTTTTCTTTTCTTTCAAATATTAAATTAAATGCCCGAAGGTTTGCTCAAGTGGTAAATTTTTTGTGTTTTCTTATTACATTTATTTGATACTTGCAACTGTAAATATTGTATTAAGTAAATACATTCATATATACTCAATTTGTCATTTGAGTCTCCTGTAGGAATGTTGCCCAGTGGTAACATTCCTTCACATTGAAAAAAAGAAGTTGTTATTGTCATCAGCACGAATTTCGTTTACATTTGTAATGTTTAATGTGTTTGTAATGTGAAATTTATTTTACTAATCTTTCAATGAAGATAAAATATATTTAGAAGTCAATACAATATTTAATTTATTCTTAATTAAATTGCACATGCAATTTTCTGTTAAAGGTTTTTTTTAATAATCGTAACAAATTGATATATTAAGTCAAGCTAATTTCTAGATGTATGATTTAATATCAAAACAAGCATTTTTCTTAAAATATTAAAGTTACTGAATATTAATTGTAATATTAAACTGTAATATTAAATATACTGATGTTAATTTTCTTCAAGATAGAATTTGGATAAATGATAAGGCCAATATTTGAAAACAATTATAAAATCGCTCACTTCCTTCATCAAGCTTTCGCCGAATATATCCTGCATCAGGACTTTAAAACTATGATTACAATTGACAATGTCAACAAATATGAACATCTTCTTACAGCACAGAAACATTTTGTTTGAAACAAGATAAATTCCGAGCGGATAGTGGTACTAAATCTATAACGCGACTATTTTAATAGGAATATATTTTTTAACTATGTGCATTGTTGATAATAATTTCAAAATCGAACAGAAGAGATCCTGATTCAAAAAAGACTAATAAAGAAGCGATACAGATAAAAGTAACATAAAAGATTTAAAAAAACTACAAGTAATTACATTGAAATTTATTTGAAGTGAAATTATGGAAAATCTGCATATACATAAAATAAAGTAGTAAAAGAAAAAAAAATCAAATTAGCTGTTAACTTCTGAGGAGATTCTTAATATGAAACCTGTCCTGAATAGATAAAGATACCATTTATTTCTGTTTGCAAGTCTAATCATGATAATAATCAAGTCAAGGATTTAAATCTAATAATAATTCTTTTAGTTTTCTTAGGCTGAATGAAAGATATATTTCAATAAAATATTTTGATCTGAAAGGAGTAAAAACAGGGGCGTTAATTAATAAGAGTAATAGGTCATTAGGAAACATGGATCTACATGAAAGGCACAATGTATCCAAATTTAAACGATGACCTGTACAAATATGTTTAAATTTGTCTTTTAATGCAATATCTTGTAGAAAAAATTCTTTCTATCAGTTCACACCTATAAAGCTGTATACTGATTTTTCATTGATTTTATTTTAATAATGAAAAATAATGTAAACGTTAGTCATAGTTTAATTTAGGCATTTGTTCAAATCCGAATTTGTGAAGTAAATCAGAGAATATCAATTTCTCCTAATTGGTTCTATATAAAAAAATATTTTTGGAGTGTTCTGTAAAGGTTTAATTTCTGTAAGAATTGTGAATAAGTTTGTAAGTGGAATTTCGGGTAAAATGTATTAATGATTGATTGATTGGTTAGATTATATAAGCTCATCTCCGCGCATATAAGCATATATGTACATATAGTCAACAGTCAGCATCCTTGATATCACTAGCTTAATCCAAAGTGTTACGGAAGGGATGCGTGTAATTTTACATCTTCAAAATCGTGGTGGAAAACTCAATAAATCTGACTTACACACGCTCAGGATATTCCTCGATGGATCCTGAGGGATAATATTTATGAGAAGGAAATATTTTTACATTGAATTAATTGTCAGAATAAGTTGATTTCTAGCTATAACATCGAATGTAATAAATGTAACATTTTGAAATAAAGAAAAATATATATGAAATTATTTTTTACAAAGGTTTATTACATGAACTAGTAAGTACATAATTTGACTTTTTAAGTGGATTAAGATAATTTTTGGGTTTTCCTAAATTTCTCGTTAACCTGTAAGGTTTTTCGTTTGTAATATTGATCATCAATTTGGAAACAGCATATATAATTATTATANATATATATAAGCTAATTTTAATTCTGGATTCTCTCATATTTTGTATTATTTTTATATATTTACTGCATACTTTCTTAAACCTCTTTACTTCATTTATATTTAAATATATTGATTTTTTTAAAGTCGTAAATTTTCATTTACGTAAAATAACGCTACTCACTATTGCAGGTTGGCGTGGCAGAGGTCAGATTCCGCGAATGCCGGAAAAAACAAAGTTGGTGCAAATGAAAATAGCAACGAGCTGTTTTTGGTTCAACCCACACAGGCGTTGCCTTGGTTTGGATTTGGACTTACCAAATTTTTCTTGAATGTTTTCTCATTTCCCTTTTACTTTTTCAGGCCGACATACAAAGGGATTTAAGAGCGAAGGGGTTGTAAAATGTTCACGGATGCTAATCTGTTGCCTGCTTAAGGAAAAATACAATTTTAAGACAAAAACAGGAAAACTTACACTATTAAAATTGTAGTGTATAAGCTCAGGAAATCCAATACTAGGATATTAATACTCTGTTAAAAAACAAAATTTGGTACATTTTTGTTATACAAATGCAGAAAAAGAGAAAAAGTACATTTCTTTATAATATTCTAGATGTATGGGATGTGCAGTCAATATTTCAGTAATAGCATAATAACAAAAAGACTGATAGATCTTTCATAAAGTCTGTCAATTTTAATTTTGCCCAGCAGATATAAAACTTATCGATAATAAGTCGCAACCAAAACAAAAAAAGAATTCTTGATCATAAAAAAATAACGACTTGACAAATAAAATAAACTAACAATTGTAGATACAGACAACGATGAGTGTAATAAACTGCAATTTTCAATCAACAATAACATCAATCCTTCATGCAATTTGTACTGTTTATTTTATATCTCTATATCATTTTTATCATTCTATATCAAATATACATTGCCTCGAGTTCAAAATTACTTCATTTTACTGTTCAAACTTATATTAATTTTACTAAAAAATGTTATCAAATCAAATTTCTGTCTAAAAATGGATGATAGTTGATAATAGTTATACTAATGTACCTTATTACTAACGTTGTATAGTAGATAATGACTTATAATTTTGCATAATTGATTAACAATTTCATTTTCTATGAAATTTTATTATTTTTGTTGTTCCAAAGCTGTGCATTAGGTTGTATGCTAATTAATGTATGCTAATGCGTAATGAATAATTCTGTGTGTTGCGAAAAATAATGTTAAAGTTTATGTGTTTTTCTGTTGTTAAAACTTCTGTGAGCACTATTTTAAAATTAGTTAATTATTGTGTATAATAGATTAATAGTTTTTTCATGTCATAGATTTAGACAACCAAGTTTAAAGTTTGAATTTTCAGTTTCAATTACAGCAATAAACATTGCAAATGTATTTTCTGCTTTCCCTCTGGCAGATGCGGTTATTTTTCTCTGTATGAAAACAAGAAATGTAAGCGTCAAAGAGAAAAAGCCAAGAACCAGAAAATGATTCTCAAGTGTATTTCCGTTCAACCTATTTATAGTTAGTTTTGTGTTGTTCGCTCCCCCACGTGCTAAATCCGAACCGGTAGGCTTTCTCAGGCCGTTGGTGAAACACCGTAAATCAAGGTCTGCTAAGAGATAAACAAGAGTAAGACGTTACCTTTTTATTTTAACACTTTGCCAAAACGACAAAGCAAGAACTATGTTAGAAAAAGTGCAAAATTTTAGCCAGTTCCCGGTTTTGTTGAGTCTTGAGTGGATCAGACAACTTTTTGAGAGTTTCTTAAAATCTTTAAGAAAACAATCTCTTAAAATTTGATGATTATATACATATAGCATTTTTTTTACTCGAGCAGTTGTTTATATGAGCGTACCTTTAATAATTTTTGATAGATTAGATTAAAAGCACGAATTTGCTGGGCAAACCTTTCCAAACATTCTTATTTTTTCTGTTTAAAGAATTAAATATGAAAATGTTAAGATATAAATTAATTACTATACAAAGGAATAAACCGCCTATTTAACAGGATAATTAATTTTATGATTAATATTTCTTTCGACTATTTCTAACTACTAAATTCATTATTATTATATGATTGGCTAAGCATGTAATTTTTAATATTTGATCGTAGATAAAAAATGATATTTCTATTCTGAAATTAGTAAATATTCTTATCTTTTTCATTAACACTTGAAAAAATCATTAATGTAACCCAAATATTTATAATTTGAGCCACGTTATTATTTTCATATTCTCTTCGGTTCCAGTTTCCAGACTTTTGGACTGCAATATTAGTATTTAGGTGAAAACAATTGGTTAGCTAGGAAGAAAGTTGATAATCGTTTTCCACATCCTTAAAAAAACCCAATACAACTTTTGGGACCATTTAACATTTCGCAAACTTTTTTCCTTCCAAATGCTTTCGAGTTTTCTTAATCATAAAAATTGTGATAATTTTAAAACGCCTTTACCGATTCACATGAAACCCTGTACCAAACATTAATATGTTTGCGATGTTTTTGTTGATTTCATCTTTATTTTTCTCCCTAATGAAAACGTAGTTGACATATGCTGACTGAAAGCAAATTCATTTTTCCTGCAGTTGTAATAACGTAAAAATTTGGAAAAAATCTTGAAGCTGTATCGGTACCCACTGGACATCGGCAAAAAAATTGCCTCCGGGTGAATGGAGTGCAAACATTTTATTACACTTTATGACAGTCAAAATTAGTATTTAATGTTTATATAGAAACGAATGCCACTGTTTTCGGGCAGACAATTTTTTCTACGGATTTTCATTTCCAGCTGGTATCTAAGTTGTCAGTAGGCTTTCCATTGATTTACTTGATGATACTAAATAATTTGCCTTTATCATTTGAATACAATTTCATTTAAAAAATCATAATACTATAACTGTTAAAAAAATACTTCTGCAATACAACTCACTGTATCCTACTTCACCAATTTTTATTGGGAAAATATTTGAATGCGATTGAATTCTGAATTCTGTAACAGTACATATAATGTTGTGTAATTGTATTAACTATCAACTCTGAACATTTAAAAAAAAATTATAAAATAACATAGACTTAATCAATATGAATATGTGATTAATGGTTTGTAATTTTATAGAATTGAAACTGTCAAGTTCTTACTTAAGTTAAGAATATTGTTTTAACTTCTTATATGTAGTTTTACCTAGGGTAAAAAGCCCATACTTCATACAAAAATCAAGTTAAAAATAGTTATCCCTTTGCGTACAATTTTGAACAGGTTTTGTAATGTAAAAATTAAGAGCAGTGAATAAGGTACCAATGTGAAAACTTGCTGAATGCAATTCTACCGACAATAGGAAACTTGTTGAATATAGCAGTTGTACCGTGTTCACGCATATTTTAATGTTTTATTCTTTTTTTTTCTGCGTTGATTTCTGCCTCATTTTTATGCGCTGCCATGCAATGCATTACAAATCTAAAAAGGATTTCATTTCAATTTCAAAACAGGCAGTTAAGACTTAATTGATTTATTTAATTTTCCTCAAGTATTTCCTGCGAACATTTGCAGAATGTTTTTTTATGTTTTAAAATAAATAGATATGTATTTAGTTGGTCCGAGTTAAACAAAGTGATTATTTAAATTGATGTATAATTTTTATGTCAATTGTGGTTGGTCACGAGCGGTACTCGAACCCAAATTTTTAAAATATCTAATTTATTATTTTTTAATAAGAAATATTTACAATAGCTTTATTACACTTATTTTTCAATGTTATTTACACTATTTTGACCTACTAAATGTTTAAGTAAAAACATATTTAAAAAAAAGAACCATACTAATCAATGAGTGATGATTCTCTTTCACTCTTCCTTCCTCTGTCTATCTCACTCTCTCTCTCTCTCTCTCTCTCTCTCTCTCTCTCTCTCTNCGCGCGCACACACACACACACACACACGCACACACACACACACACACACCACCCACACACACTCACCTCCGCTCACTTTCTCCATCACACACTTCACATCCTGATTTTTTTTTATCCCAGTGTTCAGGCTTTGTTTGTGTGTATGTGCCTGTGTGCGTTCATGCGCGCACTTTTGGTATAAGTTCAAAACAATTTAAGTTTTAATAAAAAAACTATAAAAACTAGAGACATATGACATATGTCGAATATGCTTATAATAGATAATGATATAAAACACCTTCGTACCTTTTGTAAATGGTACTTGTTTATCAAGGCTGTAATTAAAATAGTACTTTTGTAGAAACATATTTAACGATATTGAATTTATTTAAGGAACCGGTAAGAAAACAGATACTACTAAAAATGTATATCATCTCCAGTTCTGCTGGAGTATTAAGGCCATCCTGGCATCTACAATATATATCCTGAACTACATTGATGGCTGCGATAGTAATGTAGTTTATCATCTTTAAACAATACTATGTATCTTGAAACACAAATTTTGAAATATTGAAAATATATTACCGAGGATTTTCAGTAGAGCGTGTAAATGATTTTACAGTAATAAAAATACCGAACTGTCAAAATCCAAATTACATTTACCAATTTCTATCGTTTTGCTGTATATACAACACAGTTTAAACCGTTCGTACTTAATAATTAATATTTATTAGCTTCTTTTTAATTTTTTAATTTTTAATTTTACAGTTACTTCAATAAAAGTATCTACTTTTGCTTCAATATTAACTCCCCTCGACATGCCTCTGATATTTTGTCCTCCTGACCAATCTAAACACTGATGAACATAGATAATGGAGCTGCAATATTCAGCGTGACAATCTCATTAAATATTGAATAAATCTATGATAACAGAGAAGATAGGCGGACCAGAAGTTATTACAATCGATTGCACCCATCAAACGTTCATCCCGTGATACTTTTGGAAACCAAAGCAAAAATTGTGTTATTTAAAACTTAAAGTATTAAGTTAAGTATAATACTTTAAGTATTATTTACTTAAAGTATATCCTTCTGTATTATCCAAAAATAAATAATAGTTTTAATAATTATTTGGAGATCGTGAGATGCGGTCTGGTGTGACGTAGGTTTTAGAAAAACATGTTCTTTATCGCGCCAACGTTTCGATCTTTATTGAGATCATCTTCAGAGCCTGGGATTTATAAACATTGTTTAAATTTTACAAATACATGTTGAATGTGAAAAAAATAGCTTTTCAGTACATTATAAGGGATTGCTAAAAGTTAAATAAATTTTTTAAATTAGAATTCCATGTTCAGAAAATTATTTATAAAATTGAACCATAAAAAAGAATAAAAAGTATTTCAATTCAGGGGGTGAAATTTAAAAGTTATAAGCATCCACGACTTTTAAAAAGTAAACCAAAATTGCGATAATATTAATAATTTTTATTAATTTCTTCAAAATGCTATACTTAATTATTTTTTCTTTGTTAAATTTTTATAAAAATGAATTTTGACAATATAATGTTCCGTTGATTGTCGAAATATTATTTTTAGGTTTATTATGTTGACTAAATTGGCTACAATACACAACGAATTTTGTTCATAATACAATCTCACATCCTTGGCTGCCTGATCCAGCTTCAATCCACTTAGTTAGTACAACAGCACAATTAAATATGAATCAATGTTTGTTTGAATGCATTTAAATTGAAAGGAATAACCCTATTTATATTATTTTTCCGTCTACAATATTAATTACTTAAGTCCATTGAAATATTGACACAGAATTTTGAATTTTTGATTATTTTAATAGTCCATATGATAACTAGAATAGGTCAAAGTATATTTTACTGTCCAACTTACAGTGAAAATACAAAGTTAAAATGAAAGGGACTTGGGAAATTTCTGACGGCATCTGTTGCAAGACCACGAAAGCTTCTTCATGAGAAACGGCGCTCCTGGTGCAAAGTCACCGAACTTTGTGAACTTCGTTATCAAGCAGTGTCAAGTCTGTGAATGAAATATCCAAATAGAATAAATATAGGCGAGTCAAAATACCGAATGTCACTAGATTCTTTGTTGGATTGAATAATAAATAATCGGATTTATTTCCACCTCCTGATACAGTTTTGGGTAATCGCAAATGACCGGCGTTTATGTTCTTTGTGCACAGTTAACGTCCACAGGTCATTAAAATTTTATTATCGTGTAAATGTGCAAACTCACGTTAATTCATATCGCTGGCGGTTTATCGACTTTCAGATCCGTGTGTAAATGGAAAGGCACGCCAAAATTACGTTTTATCTTGTCTGGCGGTTCAAGGAATTGTTTATTTTTATTAGCAATAGCCCAAAAATCTCTACTATAGTTCAGTTACTGTTTTTATTTATTCTGGAGTATGGTAAAATAAATATACGAGGATTAACAATTTGGAGGACCGGGAAATGATTTTATTCAGTATTTACCAGACCTTTAAAAACATTTAAAATTTCCGTTCTTTAAAAATTCTCTTTCTGTAATTTTCTCACAAATATACTACTTACACGAGAATTTAAATATTCTTTGCTGAAAGCCTGAAATGTTGTATACTTAGTTTGAAGTTACTATTTAAGAATTTGGGATGGATAGTGAATGAGGGTTGCGGTTAGTCATTTGATAGATTTTTAGCAATTTCCAAGCTTTATTAGCTTAAAGTTTATCCTTCCTCAGGGCAAAGATGTAATTTTTATACATATGTATATAAATTCTAAAAGAGGGACTCATTACTCAATGTGTAAAAAATGTTTATATGATTATTTTCGATGAAAATTCACTTACCTTTATTACAGATTTATGTACACTCTCAACACGACACACAACATTGACACGACTACACAGAAAACACACACACTTGGATCTCTGAAGATGATCTCAACAAAGATCGGAACGTTGGCACGATAAAGAAAATGTTTTTCTGATACCTACATCACACCAGACCGCATCTCACAATCTTTAGATAATCAATTTTCGTACATTGATGAGTTAAATCTCCATTATGCACTTTTGGACGAAACAATATGTGTTTATTTATACAAATTGAGTACACAATACAAGTAATTCCGTAGTATTCAACTAAGCATATAATGCACTGTATAGCATGGATTGATTAATCTGCATAAGTAAAATAAATATGCAACAAAAAATCACTTATTTAACTATGAATCTAGAGGTGTTTTTTCAAAAAATGGAAGCAGTAAAACTGTCAAAATCAATAATTAAAGACATCAGCCAAAGATTTACGGTATTTGACTGCTTCGGATGCACAATAATATCCACCTCTGACTCTCTTATGTTTAAAGGACATCGAGCATTAATTATCAATAAGGTAATATTTATATTCTAATTTCAAGCCCAAAGATTTGCTCTATTCCCGAAACTTAGATGCCTACGATTTTGTCAATAATTGCAAATACATTTTATGTTTAACTTCTGATAGATGATCCCTCACGGTGTTTCCACGTAATAAATCATACTCAAATTATGTTTTTTCGCACAGCTCACTCATATCTTTGTACCAGCATGGGTTTCTTTTTATTATTTCTTCTACTAGGTTTCGTGGCAAACGGGATTCTTCAAGGCTAAGTACTTTTGTAATGTACTGAAAGTGGATATACATAGTGTGCAAATCTATTGAATGAATTAAAGTCTCAAGGAAAACAACATAATCGGTGTATTTCTAGGTAAGGTGAATAATTTAGTTATGAAAAGTACAGTTAACTTTCAACCTCTTTAAAATTATAGGCTAGATAATATAAAAGAGCCTTCACGACTACTCAATATATTTTGTACTTAACAGTTCAAAGAAGTTTTTTAACGATTTTTAATTTAGGTCTCGTATGAAAACATGAAGCTAAACTTAGTATGATTCTATATGTCTTTCTGTGAAGTTCCCCCAATATTTGTAATTATTAACCACATTCTACATATGTCCCCCAATCTTCATTTTTCTCTTCATTCCAACTTGCCGACCTTCTAAACAGAAAAATCTTAGATTTGCAGACATTAATTTTAAGATTTCATGCTGCTGTCACGTTTATATTAAAAAAAATTTCACCAGTGAAATTATAATTAACTACTTAAGTATAAACTGGAAATTATAAGTATTACGTTCAAATTTATATATTCGCATGTAAAATAATTCCGTGGCGTTTTTTGATGTTTTTTTTTCTTTGAGGTGAGAAGAGCCGACGAAGAAAATGTTTTTCTGAAACCTACATCACACCAGACCGCATCTCACGATTTCTAAATAAATATTTTGCTAATTTAAATTGGAGGGGGGAAATAGTTTATTTTCGTCATTTAATCCGGTTCTTTATTACCGCAAAGAGAAAACTACAGCTCAGAATGCAAGGAAAACTTGTGATTATGTATGGTGGTGATGCTTTAGGAGAAAGCACCGATCGTATGTGATTCATTCGGTTCAATAGAGGAAATTTTGGTTTCGCAGAGACAAAGCGCACTGGACATCCTTCAAGCAGTCATCCTGACCAAAGCTTTTGTCACAAATAACCCATTTTTTTATGACATTGTCTGGTTCTCGCAAAAAACACAATGTAAACGACGTTTTTTTAAAAATATTTAATCACGGGGGATGAAAAAGTGGGTCCTTTAAAACAATATTCAAACGGAAAATACTTGAGAAAACGCAGCGACCCACCGTTAACGATTCCAAAAGCCGAATTACGTCCCCAGAAGTGCATGTTACATGCAATGTTGCATATTACATTTGGCGGGTTAACAAACCGTTAATTATAATACACACAATTATGACGATTAAAATCACAATCAAATTAAAATCGATTAAAAACTGCCATTGTTGTTGCAATTGTTTTCCACTAGGATAACGCTGGGCTTATCCGCTGCGGACGAGCCAGAAATATTCCTTTAATATGTATAATATATATAAAAAGTAATGAAATTTTGTTGTTTTGATTTTTTTTTGTCGTGATTATTATTTTCTTTGAAAATAAATTATAAAAAAATTGTTAGAGGTTTGCAAAACGAAAATGGCATTATAAAAAAGGTTACACTCCATTTTATGACAAAATTCCTGGAGTTCTGTTACCCCAAGGTTTAGACCTCAATAAATCAACATCCCTCGTATTCTAATTTTTTTTACCATCCCTGATGACCTTTGGTTTTCTTTTTCTCTTTCAAGGGCTGCTAGGGAAAGTGATTTACATCTACCGTACAAATGTCCGACCTTAAGGTCAGCGTTGATACGACCTGTTTTGAATATCTTATAAATACCTGATTCCTTCTAATCTTGCCAGTCTCCAGCGATTCCCTGAAAAATTAAATATATTTATAATAATAAAAATTACGATTGAAAATAAATTACAGAGATGAAATATGATGAAGCGCCAAAGAAAAATTATTCTGGGACCCAATAAACACATCTAATGGCATAAATACGCCTAGAGTTATGAGAAGCCATCCGCAAGAACAGTTAAAGACATAATAAATCAACAATAATTACGAAAATTAAACTCCTAACGAACTTAAATTTTACAAAAATTGTTCTAACAATCAGGCTGTCGTGTATATAGTACAATTCACGTATAACATATATACTATAATATACATTTAATGTCATAAGTGACATTATGGTCACAATTGACAGCCTGGCTGATCCAAATAATCGGGAAAAATTGATAGAGTAATTGTAAGTTGGATTAACAATCAGGAATCTTGAAAATATGGACTTTCGTAAATCTGGCACACTGTGAACGTTTTGGTAATTTGGGCGCACAACGCTTGGCAGAAAATACATCAACGTCGACTTAAATGGAAGTTATGCTTCTGTAATTAATATCACGATAATGTTTTATGTCTTATTGTCCCTACGGTTTGGTAACGCAAGGCAAAATCACCAAAAACCATCATGAAAACGCTTGTATTTTCGGTTTTTTCTTCTTAATTTCTCACATTTCCTTAACTTTATCGCGCAATCTTTCTGACCATGATGAACAAACACTCTTGTCCAGTAAATTTAGTTACATATTAATTCATGTATTTACTGTTAGTGTCCTTAAAGGATTTACACGCAGGGAGAAAATACCAAAACGTTTGGAAAAGTTTTGTAAAACTGATATCACCATCTTTGCCAGGTGAAACGCTTGATTACACACAAATCAAGGTTTATGAAACCCTGGAAAAGTATTATTCGCCGAGATAGCAAAACGGGCAATTAAGATGGGGGCCTGCCCGTGATTTATTCACCAGGTTAAATGCCGCCGGAATCATTCTTTAAAAAAATCTAATGGCCGTAACAATTACATTTACGGTTTCATTGGCAGAAATATATACTAGATTAAGCCGAGGCGTATTATTCATAGCATGCCGTTTTTCTCCAGCCTCTGCTTTACTAAATGACAGCGTGATAAAATACTAATGCTTGACTTTCTGCGTTTCGTCATGCCCCAGCCCTATTTTTTCGCAATCGCAATTCATGTCGTCAATGATGTCATGAACACTTTTTTTATTCTCTCGGGCATACAAGATGGCTTAAAAGGGTTTGATTCCATTTATTGACTTTGAGATCGAAGCGAAAGATGAAAGAGAAAATGCAAGTTTATTTTTAATTTTCTAATAATTTTGTCCAATAGCTAGATAAATTGTACATGAAAATATGTATTTGTAGAGGTACGCTATTTCAGTCATATTCACAATTCATATAATCTATTTTCAGACAAGATATTTTAATATAAGCTAAAGGTGATCAATCCAATTGATCGAAGTTTAAGATTAGTTAATCTAACTTTTACCACCTAAAAAAATGAACCGTCCTAAAACCTTGCATAAATTCTGGTGTATAACCACATTAAAAATAATTATAGAACTGATATGTTGTTAATTGTTCAATTAATTAATATTTATGAAAGGTATTGGTTAAGACAAAAAAGTCAGTGTCACGAACGGGATTCGAACCCACGATCTTCGGCTAGATATGCCGCTTCTCTACCACTTGAGCTATCGTGACTTCGATCCGCTCCGACACTAACTTCCCATCTCAACCTCACCTCTCGAATTTTCCCTCCTTTTTGCCATTTTTCAAATGTCGTGTAATTAATTAAGTTGATTCTTGGCGACAAATGAAATGGCCACGGAGAGCTTTCGTGAAGATATACTTCAGTTTAATGTTTTTTTTTTGTTTTTTTTTGGCGTTATGAACTATGCATATTAGCCATGTGACAATTGTATATGTGTGTTCACATTTGGGGGGGGGGGGTTATTGTGAAAAAAGGGCCAGAGGCGACGGTGGGAATCGAACCCACGACCGCGGCGTGAGAGTCTCTCATGCTAACCACTCGGCTACCGCGGTCCCCAAAGTTTAATTATTAAATCCATTACAGTTCGTTGTCCGATGTACCAATTAACATTTTTCAATTAATTAATATTTATGAAAGGTATTGGTTAAAATAAAATAGCTCAAGTGGTAGGGTAGCGGTATTTAGCTGAGGGTCGTGGGTTCGAATCACGCTCGTGACACTGACTTTTTTATCTTAACCAATACCTTTCATAAATATTAATTAATTGAAAAATGTTAATTGGTCAATCGGACGACGAACTGTAATGGGTTGTCTATAATGTTTAATGTCAAAACATGCCTGATGACTCCGTTAAATCCTTGATATTTTGAAGGTGTTTTTCTTGTAAAATTGCAAAATCTTTAAAATATGTATATAATGAATTAATAAATCAGATCCACCATTGTAAGAGTAATTTTTATGCACCATGTCAAGATAGTTATTTGTAACTCATTCAATCTGATGATGAGCGTTTAATGCTCGAAATCCGGATCATTTAAAACAATAGACTGTGAGTAAGAATTGTCTTTTAAAAAGGTGTACGGCTATACTCACCAACATTCATTTCTGTGAAAAGGGTTATGCAGGATTAACATATATCTAAATCCTAAAGCAGTCAAAAGCTTAGTTTACAAGTTGAGAGAAACGTATATGAAAGTATAGTCTTTTCAAACAACTCCTAATTTTCAAGAAATAAACAAATTGCTAAAGAAATCTCTATAAAGTTTATTTGATCATTTTTCTGCCACTTATGATTATGCAGATCACGCTTACTGGGTTCTTTCAAGTAGATTCACCGCTTTGCTATTTAACTACCTACGGTTACACCTAATATGTTTAGACATGTTTGTACACTGAAAACCCCGAAAAGGGAGGAAAAAATTGACCCAATTATCCAGGTACACAGTTCAAACGAAAACGAAAATAAACGTTCAGTTACACTTTCCATCTTGTAAATCTGACTAACAGTATGGTCATGTTAAAGGGGTTTTCCGAAGCAAGGATCCGGTCAGACGTTTACAAACACCCTCCTTGTTCATCGGCCCGACAAAGGAACATGTGACCAATTTTTATTGCCTCCAGGACCCTTTCAATAACCCTGGCTGGATAGAAAAAAAAAATGACCCTTACACCCTGCTCTACATAAAAACGATATATTGGCCTCGTCCTGCTTAGCTATGCGGGACTATCCATCAGGATTTACGTTTGAATGATATTGACTGTTTTGATTCCACAATTACTTGATAATTTTCTGTGAGATCATATCTCATGAACTGTATTTTGTGAAATTAATGCTATAATATACGAATGTTTAAGAAATAATTTTCAACATTGATCTATTTACTGTAGAACTTCTTTTTATTTCATAGTACTGTCATAATAATATTACATAACACCACAGAGAAAGAGACATTTCTCGAGAAATGGAAATATGAGAGGAGAGAGAGAGAGAGAGATTGTAGATAGAAAATACATAGAACGAGAGAGGGAGAAAGAGAGAGATATATATTGTAGATAGAAAATACATAGAAAGAGAGAGAGAGAGAGAGAGAGAGAGAGAGAGAGAGAGAGAGAGAGAGAAAGCAAGGAAAAAAGAAAGGACAAATAAAGAAATAGATGGAGAGAGAGAAAGCAAGGAAAAAAAAGAAAGGTCAAAGAAAGAAATAGACGGGGAGAGAGAAAGAGAGAAAAAATAAAGGACAAAGAAAGAAAGAAATGGAGAGAGAGTGAGAGAGAGAGAGAGAGAGAGAGAGAGAGAGAGAGCGAGAGGAGGGACGGAGAGTCAGTATAACCATACCACACCCACGAATATGTAAAATATGTAAACAAATTCACCAGTTAAGTTTTAAAGATTTACCAGAAGCTTCTGTCGTCCCTCGTCTATTTGTCTGTTTCTTGACCGTACTACAAATTTATTTATTTAAAATCATAAATATTAAAAGTGACTAGATCCTTTACATGAGTAATTAGGTTAACACATAATCCATTGCATGATTGTAACGGTACTGAATTCATCCACAAAAACCGCAAACTAATGTTTATGTATTATTAAATATTTTCTTCGAACGATTCGATTTTAATTTAGAGTACCTAGATTGATTTACAATGATTGACATTTACAATGTTCAGCTGAAATTCTGCCGATGTGCAAAACTGATTGCATTCACTGATGAATATTTATACAGAAAATGTAATAAAAATGAAATTCTACATGATTGAGATGGAATACACTTTTAATTTGATTTTAGCATAAAGACACCAATTTTTACTGTAGCAATTATAACTATTCACCGTGTTAAAGTCTCGCTACAGAACCCTCATATTATTTTTGCTAACAGGTCAGGCTTCACTTCAGCAAACCCATGAATTATTTAACTCGTAATAAAATATGCTTTATTGCCATGACGTCCGAGGTTAAGGTGTGTCGGAGCCAGAAGAGGAAAAAAACACCAAAGGGTTGTTTATTATTCAGAAAGAGTGAAAGTCACCCTCTCCAAGCTGTCAAAAGGGTTGGCCCTTATTGCGCCAGTCTTCAGCTCGACCGAGGACCGGGTGAGTCCATTTACATGCCAGTTATTTCTCTCAGTGTCATTAGAGAAATTCCATTAATTTGGAATTAATTAATTTTAATTAGTATGTATTTTTCTAGTGTAAACGAAAAAAATGTGAACGGCCCAGGTTATTAGCAATTACATTAATTAAAAAGGAAATAAAAATAGTCTTTATAGGAAGCCGGATCTTAAGATTAGTTTCGGGAGTCTCTTCACGTGAAGACGAAGAACGGCTTCTTACGGCTTGAAACAGTAGAAAGGAATATTATGTTTTATTTATTTCTTGTTTTTAATTCATGAAAAGTTCTCAAGGTAAAAATAAAGTTTAATAATGCAACCTAAATATTAATTATGTTGCATTAACTACACACAAAATCCGCATTTGGATTCACGCTGTCATATTTGTATGAGTTATTCATTTTAAT